TCTCTTTTTTTGTAAAATGAATTTGTACAAAATTTTTTTAAATACAACCAATGAGTCCCCCACCCACCCCCCCCCCGAATTAAACTTCTCCTATAATCACACCTCTTCCCCTCCAAAACCTCCGCCTTTCTCTGGGACGTAAAAAAAAAATCCCTTGTGTTCCGCGCAAATCTTTTCGCTACTTCTTTCTACTGCTTTTGAACTCGTATTTTTTGCCTTGCTTACGTTCTTAGCGGTTCCCTCTTACTATTCTTAGGTCGAATCATTTTGGGTCCGAATCTTGTGCCGCATACAGATTTTTAAGTAACAGCTGCAAACAGTCGGTATCAGTTAATCTACCTCGTTCCCAGGGTTCGCTCCTACCCTACCCTCCCTCGCTCTGTGGGGTGGGTAGGAGAGAACCCTGGGAAAGAGGTTGTCAGTTAATTTGCTGCCTTTTACATTTGTCGCTGCTATTACGGTCATGTAAAATCTCGCAAAAAAAAAGTAGAAAAGAGCAGTGAAAAATGTACAGGAAAAGAAAGTAAAAATACGAATAAAAATTACGTGTTATGAACTCTTATTTACTCGCCATAAACGTACTGATTATCCTAAATAGTAGCCAGCTATCTATACTGATTACTGACCGTTCTGCCAATAAGAAAAAATGACACCCGTTATAATTTTAAAAAAAAAGACAATGTTGAATCTTCGAGAGTGAATACTTTTGTCAGCTATACCCATCGTTTTTGGAGCTTAGTTCTATGAATGGAAACGATGTTTCATGGCGTTTTCAATATACCTTTCACAAGCTGTGTTAGTTATGTATTCAATTTGTTTTGGAGCACTGTAGCAACAGCCTGCTTATACGGATCTCACTTTTGTGTTTGGTGTAGCAAATCTTTTCGCTACTTCTTTCTACTGCTTTCGCACTCGTATTCAGTTTTGCTTTGCTTACCGTCTCAGCGGTTTCCGCTTGGCATTCTCAGCTCGAATCATTTTGGGTCCGAATCTTGTGCCGCATACTGATTTTTAAGAAACAGTTAGTACTAGTTAATTTGCTGTCTTTTACATTTGTCGCTTCCATTATGGTCATGTAAAATCTCGCAAAAAAATAGACCAGTGAAGAAAGGTACATGGTTTTTGGATCTTAGTTCTTTTAATGGAAACGAGTTTTTATGGCGTTTTCAATTTCAGACTTTATAACAGTCCAAAAAATTACAACAGTGATTGAGTTCATTTGCTGAAAGTATCAGCCGAAACAAATTATCATTTTTCTTTTCGTTTTTTTAGTTTTTAGTTCAATACAGCATAGTAACGATGCAGTCATTGTCTCGTGGGTTTTGCGAATACAGCTATTTCAAGAAAGGTTGTCAGAAAAAGTGCACGCGACAATTCCGAAAGGTATTGTGGGTGGTTTTGAGTTCAGTGTAACTGTTCTTTAAAGATAGGAAATTTGAAAAAATTTCACGAGAGGGACTTATGTTTGCGAGTGGTAAAGGAAAGCAACAAAAGTAGGTACGACAGCTACAGTGTCAGGAACAGTGTATTGATCATATCCCATATTACCTTTCGGGATTGTCGCAGGCACATTTTTTCGTTCAACCTTTCTCAAAAGAGCTGTATGGTAAAAAGGTTTTTCTTGACGGTTTAGATATTCCCGCCTTTTCATCCATCCAAGCCTCCTGCTCATGATCAGTTTTTATTTTATTTTATTTGCCACCCAATAATAGAAATTAAACAGAAAAAAAAAGTGGCGAGGAGACCTAACAGAGACTATAGGAGCTCATGAGTGGTTACGCCTCCTCGAACTACGGGCTAGAGCTTTTTAGATCAATTGAAGAAAAGATGGCGAAAAGTCGAAGCTGGAAAGATTTATGATCGGTTTTCATGTTTGAGGAAAGGGATTGAGAGTTGTTGACCTTGATGTCAAGTGAATTAAAAAACGTAGACCTTTGATAACGGAAAACTGAACACGGGTGGTCAGGGGTAAAGAAAAAAAAACGGGGCGGAACAGTGAAAAAGGTGCGAATCGATTATGATTAATGTAGAACCAGGGCGTAATTTCATTATCCCTAAACATTTCACTTATCCCTTATCCCCAAAATAATTTTGTCAATTATTCCTTATCCTTTCAAATGTTTGGCCGGTTATCCCTAATCCAGGACCCCACTTGGACCGTAAATACTCTATTCAGCCCCCCCCCCCTTTTTAGAGGAGGAAAGTTAATAAGCCCCCCTTCTCTATTAAGCCCCCCTCCCCCACTCCCCTCCATCCTTATTCCTCACAAACAAATAACGTTTACTGATCAATTAAGGTTTATTCAGGCTGGAAATTCATATTGCTTTTGGTCTTCGGCCGCATGACCTCCAACTCTATGTGCTTAACTTTTTTAACTTGACGCTCTAGTTCTCTGTGGAGAATTGTTACCCCGATTTTCTTATTGTTAGAAAAAGTAGTATAACGCCCGGGAACCACAAGTCCGTCCTCGAGAAACCTTGCTCCCATTATGCACTTCGCTGCATTTAATAACCCCCTCTTTATTAAGCCCACCCTCCCCGTCAAAAGTGCTTGAAAAAAGTAATAGAGGCTTAATAGAGGATTCTCGCGAATTTTTTTTTCTTTTTCCCTACCAAAATAAAAAATTGCGCGCGCAGTTTCCGATCCACGGGAAGAGGGTTGGAAAATTCATTTTCATGAATGGGATGGGACTTTTTAAAACAATAAAACAATAAACCTAAGTTCTATTCCTGGTGGCGGCAGAGGCGACGTGTCTTGGTACACGCATTCCGTGTCCAAAAGACCGTCTCCGAACACAATCGCAGAAACCCGCTCCGATCATCTGGTCGGCGATCGGTTTCGACTAGTAAAAACGTAATTTTCCAACGTCTGACGTGTGAGAGCGGAAGGGCCTCTTCCGTGGTAACGCTATACTGGTGGAAAGAACCAGATGCTTGCACTGAATCCTAACGGTGGATTTTATCGTCACTGATTCGATAGGGATCGTAAGATTGGACGTCGCTGAAGAGAGACGTAGCCGGCAAACCTCGAACCAGTGGCTACAAGAATTCATCCCTATACAACTACTCGGACATCCCACACTGATCAATTCTCAGTTTCCTGGAAAGGGGCCCACGGATCGTCACTGGCCAATTCCTGGTTGGCATCCATGCTTTCTGCTAGAAGTTCTATTCCACGGTCCCTGTTAATTTTGTACGGGTGTGAATTCTGATGTAGATCGCCTCTTTGACCCTGCGTTTGTATCATTGATGACCACGGTGGCTACTAAATGTAGCAAAGAGGCATGTGACTGGGTAGGGCGCGTCTCTCAACGCGTAGTAGCATGAAAAAAGGTGTACTGTTCGAGAAAAAGTAAAGAAGGAAAAGTACTAATCTTTTCTTTAGTAAGTGTCTTAGTAATATTGAAATCTTGTTATTGCTGGAGTGTGTTGTGCAGAGGTTAAAAGAAGGGACACAACAGAATTGAAGAGGTCGAGCTCGAGGTCTCCTGTTTGTTGCCAGAAAGAACCACACCAGCGCGATTTTTTTTTGTCTACTATTGAAGGAAACGCGAATTTGCTTCAATTTTAATTTGGTTCAACAATCCTCTCACATTTTGTACATTTTTTTCAAAAATCTACCTTCCTCTTCCAAACCCACCTCTCTCTGAGACATAATGAAACGATCTCTCTCTTAAACAACCTAAATGTGTTTCACACAAATCCTTTCGCTACTTCCCCCGTTTCTTTTGCTTTCCCACTTGTATTTTTGAAAAAAAGAATAAAAAAGAACAGCGAAAAAGGTGCAGGAAATGAAAGTATAACAATACGAACAAAATTCTACACGTTATGAATTTTTATTTTAACTCGCCATAAACGTATATTAACATAAATAGCAGCCAGGTGTCTATACTGACTAAGGCTGTTCTGTTATTAAAAAAAATGACATGCGTTATAATTTTAGCAGTAGATGATGTTGATTCTTTGAGAGTGAAAACGTTTTATTAATACTTAGCTAAGTTGTCTATACCCATGGCTTTTGGATCTTAGTTCTCCCAATTGAAACGAGTTTTCATGGCTTCATCAATTTTCGGCTTTTATAACAACAATAAAATTACAAACTACGCACCTGGACCGGTTAATTGTTTGTACCATTAAAGGCTTCCTCTCTACGCCTCCTCCTGCGATTAATGTTTATATACCTGACAATGCCAGCAATTTAATTGAAACTATAAAACATACAAACATTATGCTTTAATCGTTTGAAGAATGTTATATAAGAATCAGCTAATAAAAGTAAGAGACGCCTTTGTGATATTTACTGATTAGAATTTCTGATTAGAATTTCTGCTTGCAATGAATATTATACGCAACAAAGACCCAAAAAGAGATTCAGAAAATCGACATTGTGTCCAATTCAAGCTAAGCCTTTCTTCCGTGTAGAAATTTACACTCTACACCTTATTAAGTAAATTCTGATCTGTTTTGTTATTTAATGAACCAGAAGACAATCCTACAACAGTCCTGCTCGGCAGAATTTACTGAAGAAGTGCATGGTGAGCTGATCTTTCTTCCGGCAATAAATATCTTTTTCTCCTTTACTGCATTTCTGGGGAACACTCTGATCTTAGTTGCCTTACACAAAGAATCTTCACTTCATCCGGCGTCCAAACTCCTGTATCATAACCTAGCGATAACTGATCTCTGTGTTGGTATCATTGTGGAGCCTCTGAAAGTTGTTTTATTGGATTTCGATGCTGAACGAAAAATGGAATATTTGCTATTACGCAAATTTAACAAATTTTATGTCAGCTTTCCTTGTATGTGCGGTTTCTTTATTTACACTCGCCGCATTAAGCGTGGACAGACTTCTGGCTCTTGTGCTTGGAGTTAGATACAGACAAGTTGTAACTTTGAGGAGAACAAATTTATTTGTAGCTGCTATGTGGATTTTGTCCATAGTCTTTGCATTATGCTCATTAATCTACTTTTGGAATCCTCAGAGTCATGTTCCATCACGGCTCTATGGCACACTAATCCTTGTATGTCTTTCAATCTCTTTTTTTTTCATACACAAAAATCTTTATCACTTTAATTTTCGCCATAACCACATAAGGCAACCGAGCCAAGCCGTTACCCTAAACACAGCTCGATCCAGAAAGGCAGTGTACAGTACACTGTGGGTGCAGTTAGCATTGGTTGCTTGCCGCTCTGCCGTTCTTTATTACCGCCATAGTAATGGCATCTCAAAGAGGAAGAAGAGCGTCTTCTTCGGTTTGGCTTCCTTCGCAATTTGCGGTTACTTTGGTTTATCTTAACTCGTCCTTTAACCCATTGCTTTACGGCTGGAAGATCGGAGAAGTAAGGCAAGCTGTAAAAGAAACATTAAGGCAACTTTTTCGTTTATCGAGTTAGTTTTCCATACTGAACCAAAAATTCATGCTATTTTAAATGTATTGATTTTACTGTCCTTCGTGATTGAACACGCCGAGCGGTTTTTGTTATCACCTTCATGATATAGTTTACATGCAATACTAAACCAAGAAGCATCTCAAAGCTAAAAAGTTTTCTTACATCTCTGGTGATATTTCATCTTCTTATAAAATGTTTAATCCAAAAGAGCATTGTAAAAAAATGAATAGTGTACTAAACGAGAAAGTAGAATGTATAGCAAATTAGATGTAATGTATAAGCGAATTCTGGCCCCTTTCTCCTGTTCTTTTAATTATAGATTTAATTAGTGAACAGAATGGTGCAAGCCGTTATTTGTCAGGTAAAAATGTTTTTTAAAAGGACAATAATAAAGAATCATGATTTTTTTGTCTTAGTAGTTGCGATGTAGTCACTTTTGCAGTGAGAATCGCTACGTTTCGAATCTTCGAATCCATAAAAAGCCTTAAAAAAATCCGGTTTCTACTTCTGAAAATCAATGCCATAAAACACCTGAAAGTCAAATCCAAAATTCCTATAATATCAAAAACCTGTTGGATTAGGGCAAAATTTCTATAGCAGCTTTGGAAGGCGAACTCAACAAGATCTGCTGAGCCAGCATTTTGCAGTCACTGACAAAACCTGGACAAACGCTAGAATTTTTTTTCCACAGCTGTCAACTTGCCTAAAAGATACCTTACTTACCCCCCAAAAGTTGCATAGCGACTGATTTAAATGATTTCGCTTGGGTATTACAGTAGTCCAAAGAAAAAAGCTTATAAACAATGGTTATAAAATTTTAGGGGATCAAATGAGGTGTTAATATCATGACTGTGGGCAATGTTGTGTGGATAGCCTGCGAAAACATCCGTTTCTCCTCGCTCTTCGTCGCTGGGGACGTTTCGCGCGAAATGTTCCCATCGGCGAAGAGCGAGGAGAAACGGATGTTGTCGCACGCTATGTACGGGTAAAGCCGCTGACCAATACTGCGTGTGGGTCTTGAAAAATTGCAAACAATGGCTTCAGGATTGATTGTAACGAATCTCTTCCATGTTTAAAGCGTTTTTTGGAAAATAATGTTGCACCAAATTTTTGTAAATACAGCAAATGAGCCCCCCTCCTTCCTATGAATTAAGCTTCTTCTATAATTGTACCTCTTCCCTTCCAAAGCCTCTGCCTTTCTCTGGGACGTAAAAAAAATCCCTCGTGTTTCACGCAAATCTTTTCGCTACTTCTTTCTACTGCTTTCGCACTCGTATTTTTTGCTTTGCTTACGTTCTTAGCGGTTCCCTCTTAACATTCTGAGCTCGAATCATTTTGGGTCCGAATCTTGTGCTGCATACTGATTTTTAAGCAACAGCTGCAAACAGTCGGTATCAGTTAATCTACCTCGTTCCCAGGGTTCTCTCCTACCTTACCCTCCCTCGCTCCGTGGGGTGGGTAGGAGAGAACCCTGGGAAAGAGGTTGTCAGTTCATTTGCTGCCTTTTACATTTGTCGCTGCCATTACGGTCATGTAAAATCTCGCAAAAAAAAAAAATAGAAAAGAGCAGTGAAAAATGTACAGGAAAAGAAAGTAAAAATACGAATAAAAATTACGCGTTATGAACTCTTATTTATTCGCCATAAACGTACTGATTATCCTAAATAGCAGATACTGATTAGGGCCGTTCTGCTAATAAGAATACTGAAATGACACCCGTTATAATTTCAAGAAAAATAATGTTAAATCTCCGAGAGTGAATACGTTTGATACTTAGCTAAGTCAGCTATACCCATCGTTTTTGGAGCTTAGTTCCATGAATGGAAACGATGTTTCATGGCGTTTTCAATATACCTTTCACAAGCTGTATTAATTATGTATTCAATTTTTTTTGGAGCACTGAGTAGTAGCAACAGCCTGCTTATACTATTCTCACTTTTGTGTTTGGTGTAGCAAATCTTTTCGCTACTCTTTTCTACTGCTTTAAGAGAAAATTCATTTTCATGAATAGGATGGGACTTTTTAAAACAATAAAACAATAAACCTAAGTTCTATTCCTGGTGGCGGCAGAGGTGACGTGTCTTGGTACACGCATTCCGTGTCCAAAAAACCGTCTCCGAACACAATCGCAGAAAACCGCTCCGATCATCTGGTCGGCGATCGGTTTCGACTGGTAAAAACGTAATTTTCCAACGTCTGACATGTGAGAGCGGAAGGGCCTCTTTCACGATAACGCTATACTGGTGGAAAGAACCAGATGCTTGCACTGAATCCTAACGGTGGATTTTATCGTCACTGATTCGATAGGGATCGTAAGATCGGACGTTGCTGAAGAGAGACGTTGCCGGCAAACCTCGAATCATCGGACCTCCCACACTGATGAATTCTCAGTTTCCTGGAAAGGGGCCCACGGATCGTCACTGACCAATTCCTGGTTGGCATCCAGGGACGGATCTAGGGGAAGGGTGCAGGGGGTGC